AAATATAATAAAATATTCGAAGCCTTACCATTTCGTCGTCATCGGAGAATCCAATGGCTACGTAGTTGTTCGTCGGCTTGTCATTGCTTCTGGAAACTTGACATTCACAGAGGGGCATGTATGGAAAATTCTTGAAGGAACAAAAAATGCAGCATCGTGAAAGGAATAAAAAATTGATGGGCTCATGTCATTGGGGGGAGGCATTGAAACAGGCCGATGGTAGGCACGTTAGAGCTAAGCGCAGGAGTTGGAGGAATGCTAGGGTGAATACAATTGGGCCACGGCACATCTTTCCCAGATAATCTTTCCCTCTCTGAGGTTTATTGTTAGTCCCAAGTGCTGCAAGTGGCTCACTCACTTGAATGTACCGCCCCTCCCCATCCCTCCACTAACGACATGAGCGAACAAAGATGAACAGTATAGGAAAGAAGTGACCTTCTTTCAAACATTCATAGGCTGACAAAAGACTCTCTCAAATATTCATCGGTTTTGTGACGTTATGAAAAGTGTGACACATACCGATTTGTAACAGCAATAAAATGAAATAAAACAAAAAAGTAGAGAACTAAGAGAAGTAAAATCATATCAAGAAAATAATAATAGAAGGAAAAAAGGCAGTGGATTCGGCGGTTGCAGGTCAGCTCAATCAGCTAATGGCCCACGGTGTGTTTAGGTTTTCCAACCCTACAGTATTCTTTTTTTTAAAGATTTTACGGAAAAACTCACGAAAAAATTTCCATATCGATCCAACCATCCTCACTAGCGTTGTATGAGAACATATGATGGCACCCGCCATTTTCCTGCAAGTCATCAGTTGTTTTCAGTGACCAAAGTAAGGTTACAAAAAATGATGCTCAAATAATAAACGGTCCTAATAAATCGGTGAACAAAGAGACTCGACACCTTTCGATGGGCAAATGCTGCTGATCCTCTCTTCTTTCCCGGGAAAACTTTAGGGTACATTCTACGATGAGTTTAGGTGGGCAATCCTTCCCTTGACGGGAATAGAGTTACCTAAGAGGATGGGGGAGGTTCGGGGCTCCGAGATTCAAAGCGTGCTCAGTGTCTCTTCACCATAAAACGCTCACCTTCGGAAAGAAGGTTTCCACCTAATTCTCAATGTTTCCTGCGACTTGTTTATTTTCTTCACCTCTAAGGTGCAGGTCTTCAAGCTCCTTCGCCAAGTTCCTCTCTTCCTCTGCACTGATTGTGAGCTTGTGTGCCTCCCAAGTGGGCCCTTCCGAGCTTAGATTTCATCTATGCCTCACAAGTTTGTGGCGCTCATGTTTTGATACGTCCGTATTTTGGCCTTTTCAGTCCGTTCGTTGTATGCGTCATCAACTCGCTAACCGGGTGATCCCACTACTAGAGCGTCACCATCACACTTCCAGACAAATCCGTGATGGATTACTGCCTACTGCACGGTAATACTACGATGACTGTCCTAGTCAATCAGTTATTCCTCGAGCATTCTACTGTAACATATGAAAGGCTTAATAAACCCAAAACCCTAATAACCACAAGAAAAAGGAAAAAACGCTAAGCGCAAAGTCAGGCTATTACGAATCGGGCGATTCACCACACTAGCGATTCGCTAGCGTCAGCAAGGGGCAGCAAATTACTCGATTCGCAAAGTCTGACATCAGAATTATGAAGCAGCTAGATCTGGTTACCATTTATTCTACAGCACAATGAACGTCGTGGTATAGTTTATTTATTTATTTATGTTATTGTATTTTATTTATTTATTTGAAACGACGCATAAGGGAAATAACGATACATGAGCAACAGTACAACAATCTTTCCTTATAGATAACCTAGCTATGGATCACAAATTTTTCTTAGCTAGGCGTTTGAAAAGCACAAAACTGGGAGTGACGAGTGCTACATTTGATTTAGAGAAGGCAATAATACAGTGCGTTTCAAAAGTATGTGCACACCCTCAAATTCACGTTTGAAAGGGAACCATGAGGTTTCGTGCTATGAAATCCTTCTCAATCGATTTCTCGTAGTCGATAACCTATCAATGGAAGCAAAGCAGATAATATCGCTTCACTTTCGAAAAAAATTTTGGATGAAATTTTTTTCTTTGTTTCAAAAGTATGTGCACACTTAACAAAAGACAAAAACATAGCTGAGATTAGAAATCAGTGGGGCCTCCAGAGTTTCTAATTAGCTCAAACATCCTGTCCGGCATAATCTGAACCACGTTTGGCATAGCTGTTTCGTCGCTGTCGGCCCAAATAGCCTCTACCGCCGCCTTCAGTTCATCCGCGGTATTATACTGCCCCGGTTGCTGCTATCCAAGTTTTATCAACGCGGCCCTTGAGTGATTCAAGGGGGCTCCGTTATAAGGTGGGGGCTGCAGGGTAAGGGTAAGGCGTACCCACAACAAGGCAAAGCTAGTCGCTTTCCGAGTGCCCAAACCACCGCCGGTGGTTAAAGAGCGGCGCATACCTGTTTTTTTCTTCTTGCGGAGATATTGCCGGAAGCCCGCCTCGCAGGCTGGTCAAAAGTCATCCCGACGCTACACACCGAAAACACGCACACGTTAAAAGGACACACACAAAACCACTAACGTTAAACGCCTCTAAAATTCCTCACAGCTTCGTTCGCGTCACCTTGCTCAGTCTCCTGCTTCAATTTCACGCCAGCCCTCCTCCGCCAAACACCCCCCTCCACCTTTTCAATCTCTCTCACTCGCGCTAGAGATTATATAAGTGGTAGGCAACACGGTGACCATGGGTATAGCACTGCATTGGCCCTTGGTACTTCTTTAACATTGATAGCGCGGTCTATATATCTGTAAATGTAGCGGCAGACAATACGTGTGTAACTTTATTCTTGAACTCCGTTGTTCTGCACGTTTGGCTTGGTTGGGTCCCACCCCGTGCCCCGTTGATCCCGAGGCCGCCAGGCGCGACAAATTCCAAAACGTGGGTCCCGCCCTTTTTTTTCTCCTTGTCGTAATGCTCCGTCCTCGGATCAAACCGCACAGCCACTGACGGCCCAGGCACTTCACCACGGGCCCACAACAACGGCCTTCTCTTTTCCAAGTGCTCTTTTTATTCTTTAGCAAATCCACCTTGGCCCAGTCAAGATCGGAATCTCTTCTCCATGTAGGTAAAAGTATTACCTTGCAGATGAGAATAGTCCACTGAAGAGGAGAGGTTGCTTGTTTTGAAAATGAAGGAAATTCTCGAAAAACCGTGTCTTCGCCCGGTGTCCTATCCTATGTTGCCGTGTCTGTACGAGCAGACTCCAATGTGGCTAACTTGTGCTGGGCCTTGAAGTGAGTAGCCTTCCTCAGCGTCTGTCGAGTGGTGTATTCATTTGAGCGGATGAGGAGGCTTAGTGGTCATTTTCGAGGCTGGAATAAAAATCCGAGCTCGGACTGTCAATGAAGAATCCGACAGGATGTGGGCTACTCTTTTGTTGTTCTTCTGAGCAGTCAAGGATCGTGAATGGAGCGGAGTGTGTGCTGAGTATAATTATCATTGTGACAGATGAATCTTCGAAGCTATTAAGGAGTAAGCGAGTTCGAATGTTGATGCGTGCGATCTCCGAGATTGTACACGTTTCATTATCACCTAGCCAGATATCCTTAATCTGACCTTGCTTCCATCTCTCCAGTGAAAGCCCTACTGGTGTGCGAATTGACCATGACTGACGCATAAGTGCAACAATTGACATGATGAAGAAATGAAAACAGCAAATCGTGTGGAAAATTCGGCGCCAAAATCTGATCTTCTTCAAGTGTGCACATACTTTTGAAACAAAGAAAAAAATTTCATCCCAAAAAATTTTTCCGAAAGTGAGGCGATATTATATCTGTTTTGCTTCCATTGATAGGTTATCGACTACGAAAAATCGATTGAGAAGGATTTCATAGCACGAAGTCCTGTCTCTATGGTGCTCTTCTCAAACCTCTGCGCTTCATTCTCGATCGCCTGTCCTTTGCAACATATAGTCTCTCCTCTGAACACGCTGGGTGTTATCAGACCCGCCGCACGACCTCAATAGTACCTCTTTACTCTAATTGTAAGAGGTCTGAGCTACCAGTGACTCCACCAAGTGACGTCATCATAACCCTCTCCCGTTCATCTATCATATTCGCAGTCTTTGAAACGCTAAAAGGCCCTCTACCGAAGAAAACTGCGACGGGAACGGCCGAAATAGTGTATTTGAAGCGGGATCAAATCTACAGCAAAAAAGTTCTATGAGTCGGAACGAGACATCAGGACGCGTGATATGATATAACAAATAGGCGACGAGTGAAGACGCATGCCCACCATGACTAAATTTAGTGTCGAGCCGCGGGTGAGAGGTGCAGTTACAGTAGCACTATTAGACCTTCCAGCTTGCCAGGGGGTTTGTAGGACAAGTGTGCTTGCCGAGCCAGTCTAACCTTCTCGCAAGATGCATCCATTCCTCAAATTGATCTTCGGAAGTAGCTAATGCAAAATAGAAACACACCAGGAAATGACTCGTCTTGCGAGAATTTCGTTGTGCTGACTATCAGAGGATTAAATATATTAGTACTCAAGTAACTAGTAATGTCAACTGACCTCACATCCTGCCGGTGCGAAAAGACATTTCTTTGCTGTCCCACAGTCAGAGCTTTCGAAGTGACCTGCGACGAGCTGAAACTTCAAAATTCATTTCTATTCAATCTTTACCCTTTTCTGAATTCTTTCTGAACTACGCTATATCGATCCCCGTCATCCATTCACTTGTAAAATGGTTTTTAGCGGGGCTCTGTGAACAAAGCCGATGCCAAGGTCATCAACAGGTTGTTTCCACACAAACATTCATTCACGAGGTAACTCTAGTACGCCACTTCAATTCGTAATTCTTTCACCTACGTACCTGAACAAGAAGGCAGATAATGAGGAGCCGTCGCTTCATCCTGAAAATCAATGGATACGGTAGACATAAGATCTATCAAAGTAACCACAGAACGACGTATAATGTTAAGACACAGGATAGTAAAAAGGATAATAAAGCGAATTCATTGAACAAATTCCTTGTGGTGTTCAAAAAGAACTAGAATAACGTTACAATGCAGAATGACGTAGAATGATAGTTCTGTGAACTGTAATCAATTCCTACAAAAATGCTGCGCACCAGATTTCCATTTGAAAATCATAGGCTAGCTTTTCGGTGTCAGCGGAATGTCAAGAAAGAGCCTTTCCTGGACAAGTCCGGCACTAATCTACCAATCTTGTTCGGATGAAAGATTGAACTGGTCTGAGTAAAATGCCACGCTAATGTACAAATGGATGAGGAAGCAACTGCCTCATCCCACGGTGGAAAGATTCTGCCCGATCCTAAATGACTTACCAAATCGCTGTGTCTAAGGTGTTATTATTATTATTATTATTTATTATCGGTAATAAACACAACAGAACACAAAACATTATGTTATATACAATTTCCGATATGCGTGTAAGAAATCAAAAATACTAGAGAGATACCAATTACAGGAGGCAATAGTCATAAAGGGTAATGGGAAGGCACCAAGGCGTCGAGGGTAGGACACTCGGTGGTGAAGAGCAGTGGCCCGCCAACACTGCAAGTCGCACCAGACATTGAGCGGCTCCGGATACCATCTTAGTAGGTCCGTCAACGCCACCGAGGCCCACCTTTTAGGAGTGTTGCGACGATTCCGCTGCTAATTGAGAGAGCGGCGGTTGCATCTGTCGCATTCGGTACTAGAACTAGGTGACCTAACCCACGTGTAATGCCTATCAAAGCTATTGAACGAAGGAATGAAGGACTTCGTGTCCCTCGAGCGAGGAGGGTCCACTGGACAACTCTTGCACGCGAAAGGGACGAATGGAGAATGGCGCCCGCTTGAGCAATTCGATGATCAACGGGAAGACAGGTGGCACAGGTGATACAAGGTATACTCTACCTCCTACTCCCTAAAAAGTCCGTCGGCCGAAGGGAGTGTCGAAGTTCGATCAGAGGGCAACTGACCCAGGCTCCCAGAAATAATGTCATACAACTGACCTGAGAGTATACATATAAGTGGGGAGGTACAGATTCACTACGATCTCGTCGATGTGCATGCGTGCGTGATCCTCTAACTTTCACCTTGAGTACAGATTCACTACGATCTCGTCGATGTGCATGATGCGCTCCTCTCACCCTTTCCACCTGACAAAAAATAATTTCACTGCTTAAAGATCCTTGCTGTGGTCCAGTCTACTTTTTTGGGATGCGCCATGCATTAAGCATACATCAGGATCGGTGAAATTTTGAAGGCGCTTTGTCATACACAATGGTTTTCGAGCTGATCTTGGCGCCACTTCTCGAAGCCTTGCAAAGAAATAAGGGCGCTCATGTCTTTCGGGGGGGGGGAAGGGGGCGGAGTGGGGACATTCAAAACAGGGTAAACAAAAACCGTTGGTAGGTGGCATAGAACTAACCTCAAAAGAGAGGAGGAACGCTAGAGAACAAAAAATGCTCCCTGACGTTTAGCCCCAGGTGTTGTAAGGGGAAGGGGCTCGCCCTTGAGCGCCCCCCCTCCCCAACGACATGAGCGCTCGAATTTAATACCAAAGAGCTAATCAATTGGGAAAGAAAGCTCGAATACCAAGGAAGTGTTTTGATTTACTCTACGCAAGTGCGGAAACGGCACCGCTCGCCACGGCTCGCCTTCGCGTTCAATTCTCTTGAGTCTAGTCTAAATGGCGTCTTTGTCCTTTTTACGGGTGCAAATCTCTCTGAAGTACTATTTGTGTTAGTTGGAGACCTCATAAATAGCTGACACTGGACGTGAGAAGCACTTTTAGGAATTCATTAGAGAATTACACCCTGTGTTAACGCCAGAAATAGCACAACATGAGGCGTTTTGGTAGCTGATCTAGGAATGGTTTTTGACGGAGAGAACAAGATGACCTCCAAGAGGGTCCCACCTTAGGTGTGGGGTTCCTATGAAAAAAGTGAATTTTTGATAAGAATGATCTATTGCCGCTTGCAGCATGAAAAAAGTATGATTTAAACTGGAAGCGACAACGGTGATGAGTACTCTACGTAGAGAGGTCAATACAGCCACTTAGGAAACCGCTTTTTTCAAGATGAGGTACAGACTGAGTTACGAAATGACTAGCTCTTTTGTAGTGGTGCCTGGTTCTGCGTGAAGGCCACGTTAACCGGACGTCGATTTTTTGACGACGAACTTCTGCACCAATGTCAACAAAACAGTCCTAACTCGAACTGACTCGAAGTTTTTGGGCACTAAACCAAGAGATGAGGACTCACGCT